TTTATTTTTAAAAATAAAGAACTACACACACACACACATGCAAATATTGGACTGTATAATTGATAATTGGAGTTATATAAGATTAAAATATTTCTGCAGTCACATCAGGGGTCGACACAGTTTTAATTCTAACGGCAGTTTTTAAAGTCTCGTCTCAGCTATAAGTCTTGTGCCATTTAGAGGACTAACGTTTCTTTTATTGTATTGGCTGTTGATAAAACCTCATCTTTAAAATTTAACATTCACATAATTCACTTTAAATGTATTGATATTAATTTAATATCTATTCTTGTTAGTTTGTATATTTGATGAAAATAATAGGCCTTTTGTAGATTTTGGAAATCTCCACAATTATGCTCTGCATAAGAAGCTGTTTAGTTAATAAAAGCTGGTTCTGTTTTTATGGGTTAAGTTTATGGCATGATATGTGCTTTCATTATTAAAAATGCTGAATTCTAATTAACCTTAAGCATTAAGTGTGGGTTAAAATGCATGTTTTGACCTTTTACAGAGAGGCTCCACATGGCCAGGTGGTTAGGGCGCTCAACTCGCAATCTGAGGGTCGTGGGTTCAAATTCCCATCACACCAAACATGCTTGCCCTTTCACCCATACGGGCATTATAATGTGATGGTAAATCCCACTATTTGTTGGTAAAAGATTAGCCCAAGAGTTGGCAATGGGTGGTGATGACTGGCTGCCTTCTCTTTAGTCTTACACTGCTAAATTAGGGACGGCTAGCGCAGATAGCCTTCGTGTAGCTTTGCGCGAAATTCAAAACAAACAAACCCTTTACAGAATTACATTAAAAATTTAAGCAACTTTATCATCATTGTCAATAAACTTTGTACTAAAATGTAGTTTATAATCAGAATTTTTATACTAGCTACATCTTATTTTCCTAATTGTAAAAGAAAACATTTAAATAAATTCTCAATTTTCATTTTTCTGTGTCACATGACTAGTCTTTGCTTTGAATTTTTCCTCATAAATTTTTTAACTTTCCTAATATAGCTTTCAGAGTATCCAATCAACTAGAAACACTAACTATAGATAATGAATGTCAAGAATATATAATGTGAACATCCTACTTTTCCAGCTTGCTGAGATATGAATATATTTGTCAAACCCCTCAGACAAGCTCCTCCCATCTTGTTATAGCTTTCAAGGCAGTTATTTAAACCACCTGTCCATATTTGATGGACATGTTTATAGCCAATAAAAGGCCAGCATACATAGATAGTTGGTTTTTATTTGTGAGATTTATTGTTCAACTCCAAGCAACTAATGGGATGTTTTCTAATTAATGTTAGTTTAAACAGATAGTAAGTTAAATTATAGTCATTTTGGGATATTATATTATAGTGCCTGATATGTTTGTTCTAAATTGCATACTTGAAAACTAAATGAATTTAAATAAACAACTAACTTAGTGAGAGAAAAAGTAGGGTTACTTTGTCATGGCATTGAGTGAAAAAGGCCTGAACCCAGACATAAGTACCAAATTTCTTGTTTTTGTGTACATTTTGTATCTATAACTATATAGTTTTTAACAACTGTAACTAAAATGTAAAAATTAGAAACTTCTTAGATTAGGTAGTAAAAATTAGATGAAATTTTTAATTTCTTGAGCCTAGTTGATCCAGAAGTCAAGCGTGTGTTATGTGTGTGAATGTAACTTGGTTGTTTATTTGTTTACTCTAAGCTCTACCAGAAACATTCTGCTGTGATTTATTGATTTTCACACAGAAAGAGTATTAAATAGTACGTTGATAAAAACCATAAAAACATTTTGGTCTGTACCTAATGATGCTTTTACTGGTGAAAACATGGCCGTGAATAAATGACATACTTGTGAAATGTAAAGTTGTCTTGTTCTTGCAATTATGGAGTTTAACCAAGTACTGACGGTTTCAAGTATCAATTATATAAGTAATTGTAATTGTTTGTTATAATAAGCAGTCTTTCTAGAAAAAAAAAAGCATTAATTTTATGTCATATTTTTCAACTTTTCTGTATGCATCGATTATTTCACTAAAGTTAGTTTTACGATAGATGAAATACAAAAAAAACTGATTTTCTAAAGGGTATGCAAACAAAATATGAAAAGTGTAAAATTAAAAGAAGTATTTTTATTCTTAAATTGAAAATCACCTTTCACTCGTATTGACTCAGTAAAGGTTTTATAAGTTCACAAACAAATCTTTTGTAAAAAAAGTACTTTATTAAAATCTTCTTTTGTGTGTGTGTGTGTGTATACAAGAGGCTTGTAATATTTACTAAAAGTTTGCCAAATTTCATTAAGATACACTTAGTACATTGAAAGAGTTATAGTATCTGTAGTTTCATGGTTATATGGTGTTACAAGGTCCATCAAATTGACTAAGCCTGTATACGTAAGATTAGAAAGGCTTAATTTAACAGTGCATTTCTAATCTTTCATACATTTATTTATCCAGTTGCAAAATAAATGCAATTTAATGGAATAAAATTAAAGAAATAGAGAATAAAAGGCTATTATGATTAGAAGTGTTATGTATAACATTATATTGTCTAAATATTATTATTTTACTTAAAGTACATTGAGTTTAAATATTTGAAGATACCTTTTGCCATGCTGACCTATCATTTTTTTATATTGAATTGATTATTAACATATGTTTTTTTCAAAGAGCAAAATAAATGCCATATCTTCAATATTAGTACTGTTGTTAATTGCAGAGGCTGATTGATGGTATCTATCGCCATCTGAAGGACCGGTCTGCCACTGAATGTCACAGAGTTTGCCTAGAAAGTATTCGCATTTTGAGCCGAGACAAGAAGAATCTCGATGAATTGTTTAATGAAGATATTGTGGATACCATGGTTTATCTGGCTGGCTTGCTAGGCTGTCCAGAAAATCAAAGTGTACATCAATCTGACCTTAAAGGTAGGAATTACATTTACTGTGTAAATTGATTTATATGGGTTAGATAGACTAAGTATTGTTTTAAATAGGATTAACATTGTTATATGCTTTAGATAGTATTAGCATTGTTTTAAATAGGATTAACATTGTTATATGTTTTAGATAGTATTAGCATTGTTATATGCTTTAGATAGTATTAGTATTGTTAGATGTTTTAGATAAGATTAGTATTGTTATATGCTTTAGATAGTATTAGTATTGTTAGATGTTTTAGATAAGATTAGTATTGTTATATGCTTTACATAGTATTAGTATTGTTAGATGTTTTAGATAAGATCAGTACTGTTATATGGATAAAATAAGATTTAATGTTGGTCACATAACTTCTCCTGAACTGCTGGTTGCACTTACTTCTAAATGGTACCAAATGAATCATCTTGGTCCCAAAGTTTGCACAAAGGTAAAAATTTCCACCCAACCTCTTAGGAAACCCAGGTATTTAAGAAAATGCTTTGACAGGGATCCCCTGAAAGTGTACTCAATTTATATTAAAGTACATAAATAAGTAGGCATACTCGTTCCCGTTTGTAACTTGGTTAAAGCAATTAAACTTACGTTATAGCAACAATGATAATTAAACTGAAAAAGTACAAAATAGTAGTTAAAGTATTAAATTTGTATTATAGTGGCCCTGTAAATGTGGACCATAGGCCTATGGGTTCACTAATGTTTTAGATAGAATTAGTATCGTTATGTGTTTTAAATAAAATTAGTAGTGTTGTGTTATAGATTGTTAGATTTAGTTGTTTTATGTATGAAGAATTTTACTTTGTCATTTTTCAAAATATTTGTTTTTAAATTACCATAAATCACAAACCAGTGAGATTATTTCAGTTTAATTTGTTTACTTTTAATAATCTTTCGACTAACTTTGCTAATATGCTTCCTCGTGGCTTAGCCAGTAAGTCTAAAGAATTATAACACTAAAAACCAGGTTTCGATACCTGTGGTGGGCACAACACAGATAGCCCATTGCACAGCTTTGTGCTTAATGACAAACAGAAGTGTTGCTTATAAAGATGTATTTATGTATCAATTTGTAGACAGTCTTTCAAACATTAGTATTTTAAATGTCAAGGAATTAACACGTTCACTCCTGAGGACACGTGCGATTTTAGCATTTGTTCACGAGTGCTTACGATGCAGATAAATAAAAGAATGTAAAGCTTACATATTTTAGATGTGTTATTATTGCTATTATTTAAATTGATTGCTTTAAAAGTTGTACGAGCACTTGCCGTAGATGATGCTAAGCGTTGCCGTAGATTAAAGTGTTAAGAAAGTTGGATCTTTAATAACATAAGCAAGGATGTAACAGCCTCCCAAATAGTGGTGTGACCAAAGAATCGGTCAAGAAGTGCGACCGATCTAAGAGATTTTGAAAGTGTTTGAAATATATGGAGGGAATCTTCATCATTGATCTAATAAGCAGATTGTCTCATTAGCATCTAATTTTCATACATGTAATAACATAGTTGTTTGATTAAACTGCAAACAAATGATGTTGAAAAAAAGATAAAGGGAGATATTATGTTCGGGTTTTTAAACGATTTTTTATATTTTTAATGATTTATTTAGTGTGGCTGAACACCCCGGTTCGAAAAAGTAGTGCAGTCAGCACCACACCAGCCTTTCTAGATGCTACACTCGTGATCATGAATTGAAATATAATAAATGCCCATCATAACAAGAGCAAATCACTTTGAACGAAACAGTAACAAGGTGTAAACTGCTGTTAAAGTAATGGCAAAAATTCACATTTAAATACCTTATTTGAATGTTTTCATTATAGATTCTCAGTAAAATTATATCCTTTGAAATCATGAAACGGGTTGAATAAATTAATAGAGAGAGAGAGAAGAAATAGAATAGTCTGATATTTCACTGTTTTGTTATTCGTATCCAGGGTTGAATCTTATTGATATGTTGGTTGGGTATATATATATATATATATTTATTTATTTATTTACAGTTATCAATGAGGCCCAAAAAAGTTTGTGCAATCTAATTTTCAACAGTACCGTAGTCCAAAGAATTTGTTGGTGAGTAATTATATGTTCATGTCATTATGTTTTGCTCCAGGTATTTTATCCTTTTTTACCTATTAATTGTGTCAATACTAGTGTTAGAAGCATAACTTATTGTTGTTTTTTTATCATTAGTTCATTTGTTTTCCCACTTGCCACATTATCAGCACAAAAAAAAAGTTATTTCTAGTTGCCAGTTCAAGTTTTACCCTCTGAAAAATTAAGAATAAACAAATTAGTTGAAATATGACACATTTTAATAAGTAATTACTTTGGGCATTTTTCTAATTTATACAATTTTGTTTGCATCATAAGACATTTTGTCATGTTAAAGTTATTCTTAGCTACAGATAAGCTCGTTACTTATCAGTAACATTGATAGAGGTTGTGACCCATTCTTTAAACTTTGTTGGGTTTTTTTTTCACTTAAAAGAGTTACAAAAACGAATTCGGTTTTGGATTATAATAAAAATTTTATTACAAGACGTAGAGATTACTTTTAAATTGTATAACATGCAAGTATGACCGTCAATAAAACTAAACTCTTCAGAAGATCGCATGTATGATTATTACTTTGTTTGCCACAAAATATTTCATAGCATGACTTTTCACGAGTCTGAAGATTATTAATATTATATTATGTACTTTTCTAATCTTCAGGTGCACTAATATGGAACAGAAAAGGCATTAAGATCTGCAATACACACTGAGAATATTTTTGAAAGGTATGCCTGGGATGGCCTGGTGGTTAGGGCACTTGACTTACAATCTGAGGGTCACAGGTTTGAATCCTGCACCCGAACATTCTTGCCCTTTCAGCCATAAGGAAGTTGTAACAGGATGATCTGTCTCACTGTTTGTGTGAAAAGAGTAGCTCAAGAGTTGGCAGCGGTGGGTGGTGATGACTAGCTGCCTTCCTTCTAGTCTATCACTTCAAAATTAGGGACAGCTATTGCAGATAGCCCTCGAGTAACTTTGTTCAAAATACAAAAAAAATTGAACAAAGGAAAAATCTTAAACAAGCATTTATTGAAATAATATTGTAAAGCTTAACAAGTGGTCTGATGATTTCACTTTTGGCTAGTTGTGTTCAGTGTAACATCTGAATGGTCCAATTGCTAGAGATGGAGATGTCTTCACAAGAACCTTTAGTATATTACACTATTAAGTCAGAATGAAAGCTCTTAGTGCATCATTCTACCATCACAGACAACCTACATCAGTGATCATCGTCATTGCCTATTCAACTGTATAATTCACCTCTGGTTTATGCTAACTTGTATCTGTCATGTTGTTTAATATTTTTATTCTTTTTATGTAGCAACAATAAATGTTTGGATGGAATCATGATGAGATTAAAGACATTTAAAGATTCCAACTTACCCCATGAAATAAAGGTTTGTACACATTTGAAATATACACTGTACTTGATATATTTTTCACATAAATGTTTGTAACCCTTAAAACAATCAACCAAATATATGAACAGTTGCTTTACTGTTCCTGTGTAAAGCAAAATAATCTAAAGATAACTCTAATGTAGTAAAGCAAAATAATCTAAAGATAACTCTAATGTAGTAAAGCAAAATAATCTAAAGATAACTCTAACGTAGTAAAGCAAAATAATCTAAAGGTAACTCAAATGTAGTAAAGCAAAATAATCTAAAGATAACTAATGTAGTAAAGAAACATAATCTAAAGATAACTAATGTAGTAAAGCAAAATAATCTAAAGGTAACTAATGTAGTAAAGCAAAATAATCTAAAGGTAACTCTAATGTAGTAAAGAAAAATAATCTAAAGATAACTCCAATGTAGTAAAGCAAAATAATCTAAAGATAACTCCAATGTAGTAAAGCAAAATAATCTAAAGATAACTCCAATGTAGTAAAGCAAAATAATCTAAAGGTAACTAATGTAGTAAAGCAAAATAATCTAAAGATAACTCTAATGTAGTAAAGCAAAATAATCTAAAGGTAACTCTAATGTAGTAAAGCAAAATAATCTAAAGATAACTAATGTAGTAAAGCAAAATAATCTAAAGATAACTCTAATGTAGTAAAGCAAAATAATCTAAAGATAACTCTAACGTAGTAAAGCAAAATAATCTAAAGATAACTCTAACGTAGTAAAGCAAAATAATCCAAAGATAACTCTAATGTAGTAAAGCAAAATAATCTAAAGATAACTCTAACGTAGTAAAGCAAAATAATCCAAAGATAACTCTAATGTAGAAAAGCAAAATAATCTAAAGGTAACTAATGTAGTAAAGCAAAATAATCTAAAGATAACTAATGTAGTAAAGCAAAATAATCCTTTACCAAAATAATCTAAAGATAACTCTAATGTAGTAAAGCAAAATAATCTTTTGCTTTACTACATTAGAGTTATCTTTATAATCTAAAGGTAACTCTAATGTAGTAAACCAAAATAATCTAAAGATAACTCTAATGTAGTAAACCAAAATAATCTAAAGATAACTCTAATGCATTATTAAACAGCTGATTTTCTGGTAATTTTTTCTTTCTAAAAATGTGATAAATAGTACACTGTGATCATTTGGTCAAAACATTGACCACAACATTTTTTCCCTAATACGAATTAACCATTTTTTTTGTGTTTTCAGTAACATCAATCTTTGGCAGACTTTTATTAGTCAGGTTATTTGTGTGTGTGTAAAGTCAGACCAAATTGCACCCTGCTATAATGTATAGATGAAATGTGTGAGTTGTCAGAATACTTGTCCTCAAGTTTTTGTTGTGGATAGGTAATTTTAATATTTTGTTTTTCAGTTGTGTTCAGTAACAACAGCAGCTTTTGATAATAAACTAACAAGGTGGCAGAATTCCCACAGTGTAAACAAAATTTTACGGACTGTTCCTATTACATAAGGTTTTTAATTCATCATGTAAACTAATAATCTAAACCATTACTTGACGAAAGGCTGTGTCACCTTACAATGGGTAAACAACCAAACCAGTTCTCATCAAACCCCTTAGCCCCCCACCCCACCAGGGAGTGACATGGGGGGTAAGCTTTTGAATCTGTAATATTTTTAAAGTAAATTTAGTAGTATAGTATGTTTTTTATATGCACTACATGGAATTTCTATTCCCATAAATCATCATACTTCAATAGCATCACTTTGTAAGTGACTGTTCTTATTTTTTACCATGTTGTTGCTGTAATTAATTGAAATTTCTATATAGTTTTTTAATTATTATTATTTTTTTTAGTTCTTTGACATGCGGATGCTCTTTCTACTAACTGCATTGTGTGCAGATGTTAGGTAAGTTGAACCAATTGCAACATTTAAGTTTTGCTAAAAGTAAAGATAATTATAGATTTGTAGTTACCATTGCATGATAATGTTTTCCATGTTCTTGTCAGTTTTTTTTTAAGGGCATATCTGCTATTGTCTTGGTAACATGAAATCACAGTTTTTTTGTTTTACCAGACCAAAACTTAGATCTGAACATCATGGGTTAATTTTTTTAAGGGCATATTTGCTGTTGTCTTGGTAACATGAAATCACAATTTTTTTTTTTTAATAGACCAAAACTTAGATCTGAACATCATGGGTTAATTTACCTCATGGAAATAGTGGATTTGATTATGAAGAGTAACGCGGAGAGGAACCAGAACTATTATCGAGGTCGTAAAAGATTTAGTAAAAGTAGCAGAAGAGGTCGCAGCCAAACTCGAGATAGTGATGGCTTTCTCATTCCGTGTCTGGATGACGATGAAGTTGATTTAGCCTGTGAGGTTCTGAAGGTGTTGTTCAACCTCACTGTCAGTGTAGACAGGTTAAATTTAGAGGAGGTACGGTATGCTTCTAAAAGGAGCACTTTTTTTGTTTTTAACTGTTTCAATGATTCAAACTTCAAATTTATAGTAGGTGAAAATATCATTCAGATAATCCCACCTTACATTTTTTGTTCGTCATTAACTTGTGTTCATTCCAGAATTTTTTTTTTTCCATCTGCTATTCAGTCAGTCAAATCGTATGAAGAAGTAAACAGAAATTCTGTTTTTAGTTGTGGAACTGAGCAATGTGTACTTTATGACAGTTTTTGTTTTCAGCTGTATTACAAAGGTAATCAAAATAATCACTTTCCTTTTTCACTTTTATCACAAAGCTCATCTAAGTGAGTTGAAAAATAAAGAAATGTTTGTTACGGCAGTTTTATGTTAGCAGTGTATAATGAATTTCAAGATCAAACATAAGTGTAAAGTAAAGCCTGTAATTGTTAAGCCAACTTTCAAAATGTGACAATTTCTATATGTCTCCATGCAGGAAGACGAAGCTCATTTCATGAGACTAGTCAGTATTCTTCATGACATTTTGCTTTGTGAAACTAAGTCAGTTGAGAAACGGGAAGAGTTACAAAGGTATGGTTCAACAATACAATACAATATTGAACAATGATTTAATAATACAATATTAAACAATGATTCAATAGTACAGTATTGAACAATTATTTAACAATACAATATTGAGCAATAATTCAACAATATAACATTGAACAATGATTAAATAATACAATATTGAACAATGATTCAAAATACAATATTGAATGATAATTAAATAATACAATATTGAACAATGATTCAGTAATACAATATTGAACAATGATTAAATAATACAATATTGAACAAAACGATTGGGCATGGCCTGATGGTTAGGGTGCTCAAGTATAAGATGTACAAGATGTTTTTTGTATCGTTTGAAAGTAGATTACACTTAGCCAGACAGATATTCATAAGCAACTTTCATCTTTTGAGTTGTGCTACATTTATTTATATTTAATATTTTGATGCTTATTTATGAGAAATTTTATCATCTGCAACATATGGCCTGTGAAGTGGTTTTATCCAGCCTGTGATGAGTTCTTAAAATATAAAGAAATCAGTCTTTTTTTTTTTTTAAATTTTACTTTTGCTTT